TGCTTTGGTGAATCTGTGTTAGACTGTAATACTGTATCGTTTATACTGGTTGAACTCTAGCTACTTTAATATTGGCTTGGACAGCAGGTCCTCTAAAGGCCCAATGAATGTTGCTGTTACACTCAAATGTTTTTAAATGGTGAAGAATTTGAAGGAACGAGACTTTTAGCCCATTATATCTAGTTCTGGTTTGGTGATCGATGCTGCCTCTCGATTTTGTGCTGTGATACTACAAAATGCTTCCAGATGAGATGTGTGAGATTATCACTATGGTAACATCTCTGTCACCATGGTTACATGGCATGTGATTTTTTTTTTATGCTGCTGACTTACCCGGCTTAGATAATATAGTCCTACCCCTGCTGCTGTTGCACACACACATACACACACTAACAGAGAGAGATTAATCAGAGAAAAAAATCCTCTGGCCTCTAAACTAATGACCTCTGGCTCGTGATCATAGCTCCAGCTCGGACATTTCATAACACTGACATTCCCCTCAGCATTGTGGAGAATGAGGACCTCTCTTCAGTGCACCTTGAAGCAACTGTTGTTGTGAATCGTTGCTATAAAAATAAACCAGCATGAAGTGAGCTGCATTGAACGCGATCATCGCCTTTACTTTTGCTGTTTTTTCTCACAGTCAGTATAAAACACAAACTTTGCTTCCAGGTCACAAAAATAAACCCAATGCCTTCTTTGAGGTTTCCACCTTGTTGTAAACACTCAGTTTCTCCATCTCCATTTCATGAAGCTGTGCCTTGATTGTAGACCTCCGTGAGATTGTTCTGGACTTGATTAGATGTTGTGAAGGAAATCTTAACCAAGAAAAGACTTTTGCAGTCATCCACGTTAGCCTCTTTTCATGGTCTTCAAGGCACCAGATTATGGATTCTCACAGTTTTTGCTGTCGCTCTGATTTGAGATTTTCAGCCTATGATGATAAGAAGGCCTATGGCCGGCCTAAAAAGTCACAGGCTGCAATTCAGTGACTAAATTTAGTAATCACATTTGACCAGCTCTACAGCATATCTTGTACACTTGATTGAAGAGAAGAACAGAGCTGTTGACTGATCACCACTTGATGGTGGCAGGGCAAGAGGATGCCAGTGTATGTATATACTAATATTACAATGTTGGGCCTATACTTTATTTTGTGATAGAGGTTTCTACTTGAAAGGTCTAAAGCGATAAAAAAGACAAATGAGTAAAACGCTGTTTTAAGTCAGTTTAAGTCATGCAGTAAGAAAAAAGAGATGAATGCATGTAGATCTGAGAATCTTTAAGCTCACAGCAACTGGGTTAGTAACCTTGACGACTAGGTTGAGCCCACAAACCACGATGGTAATTTGAACCTAGTGTCTGCTCTGATTTCAGTGATACATTATATACTGTATGGTCTGCTTATTATTTACATTAAATTATTTGATGTTATTGGTGTATCCTCTATTTTCATACATTCATTCATACAGAGAGAAGACTTCATCTTTAATTACACACATTGACCAGCAGGTGGAGACAGCTTGCCATCAGTACATATTCAAGTTTTAATATGAGCATCATTAATAAACACATTTGTTCTGATGTACAGAAACAACAGCAGTAAATAAAAACCGGAGCAGGAGAAGATGTAACTAATCTGCCAGAACAAACCAAATTCAGAAAGATAAAAAACAGACTGAACAATTGTTCGATAAAGGACAATGTTACTGTGATGTCATGCCAACAGCTGCTGTATGAACAAAGGAAGTGGTTCATGATAAAGGGAAGTTTGGATCCACTTGTGTGTGATGAGGCTGGTGCCAGTGTTTTTGTGACAGCAAAAA